CAAGAGGCTGATAAGATCACAACAGAATTAAGGCCACAAAAGCCAACACTGAGTGGATACAGTGACACTGGGTCACTTCCTCAGTGACCTTGCCCTGACTGTATGACTTTGGAGGGAGGATCCTTGAAAGGCCTGAAGCCACCATGGAACCACTGTAGGGTTCTGAGGTTGCTCCTTTTAAGCATGCTGGTCTCTCAAATGCCTTTCTGTCGATCTTATTTCAGGTTCTAACTAAGGGAATCCCATGGTGACATGGACTTGTGCAGGTCATTCAGAAAGGCGAGATTCAATCGAATGCCTGGATAGACCCTTCTATCTATTGGTTAGTCAAACAATAAGTTCAGCATAGCCCATGACCTACTGCAGGATTTTTAAAACTCTGGGTCACAACCCATGAATGATTTGTGAAATCAGTTTGCTGGACCCCAAACTGAAAGAAGGGGAGGAAGGAAAAAAGGAAGGAAGGAGAAGGGAGGGAAGGAGGGGAGGAAGAAAAAAAGGAAGGAAGGAGAAGGGAGGGAAGGGGGGAGGAAGGGGAAAAATAGAAAACATTGTAGGGAAACCTCTCATTTCTTGAACTTTATCTATATGCATTAGTATACTAAGTTATGATTAAAAACTCATTTGTTACTATGGGTTGAGTTAAAATTTCAAAAAACACTGTCCTGGAAAGACCTTTTGTTTGGTTTGCCTTCATTGCTTACAGCTTCTTCCATTTATTCATTTCATTTTCACCATCTGGAACATAAACAGAGAGAACAGTTCCAGATCCTTTTTGTCCTGAAAGATAAATTAGCTAACCTTTCTGGACTTAATTTTTAAAAAATATAAAACAATGGGCTAGGGTTGTGGCTCTGGTAGAGTGCTCGCCTAGCATGCATGAGGCACTGGGTTAGATCCTCAGCACCACATAAAAATAAAATAAAGATATTGTGCCCACCTAAAACTGAAATAAATATTTATATATTTATATAAATATTTATATAAATATATATATGATGGGGCTGGGGTTGTGGCTCAGTGTCAGAGCACTTGCCTTGCACATGTGAGGCACTGGGTTCGATCCTCAGCACCACATAAAAATAAATCAACAAAATAAAGATTAAAAAATTTATATATATATTAAGAGAACTAAATGAGAAGCCTTGTCCCTATGTCTGTCTCTCCCAATGTTCTTTGAGTTTACTGACAGTCTTCTCTTCAGTCCTCCCATGCCCATAACCATAAAATATTTAAGGGGAAAAGGGGGCCCTAAAAAAGGCAAAAGCAAACAGTCAGATGGGAGTGTTCTACAGAGAGTTCAAAGGGCACACTTTTACCTGGTGAGCAGCTTCTGGACAGCTTAAACCCTCTGTCCATGGAGACAGGGTCCCTGTGAACCTTAAAGGGACAAGGTGATCCATTCAAAGTCTTGGCATCATGGCAAGAGGTTCAGAGAGTGTCCATCAGCCTTGAAGGCAGTATCCAGGCTACAGAAAAGAGGAGCCCATTAGCTGAGTGTAGGCTGCAGCCCTGTACCCTGACTACAGCCCCACCTGTCTGGGCACCTGCAGGCTCCCAGAGCCTGTCAGAGAGGTTAAGAGGCCAGGTTCTGCTTTCCCCTGGATTCTGTAGAATAAAGCCCACAAGGGTGGCCTCACCTCACAAGGGTGGCATGCACCTGGCAGGGCTCTTTTGTTTTGATACACATCTTTGAGTCTCTAGCACTGGAGTGTGGCATCTCAAACATAGCAAGCACTTAGTAAATATCCCCTGTTGCAATTGATTAGAGATAGGTACTGACCAAAACCAATCTGAACATTCCCCTAGTAACCACCACTATCCCTCCTAAGGACAAGTGAAAATACAAGAAATGTTAACTTTAGAGGGGAAAGGGGAAAAATTCATGTTTTCTGTAGAGGATCTGGTAAATGGTCTACATAGCAGTCTAACTAAAGGAATTCTAAGCTACTAAATCTGCAGGGTTTTTGTTTGTTTTTGAGTTGCTGGGGATTGAACCTGGGGTTTCATAAACACTATACAATAAGTGTTCTAACACTGGGCTACTGCCCCAACCCAAATCTATACTGCAGAAATGCCACCTGTCATCAGGCTTTGAGAGAAGGGGACTCTCTTTCTCACTAGCCTTTCTGGTACCTGGCTAGAAAGAAGCAGGATCAGGAGACAATTAGTGATTACAACTGAACAGGGAAAAGTGCAACTCATGTATTCTTGCTTTTTTATTTTTGCAAAATAACCTTTCTCATAAGAATAAAGCTGAGGTGAAAAAAATCCATTTGTTTTCAATGTAGATATAAGAGGCTTTGTTATCAGGTGACAAACTATGCAATACAGCAATTCATAATAGAAAGACTAGAGAAATGATGGGTCATTTTGGCCTGGAGATGTTGCAGAAGATTTGATGGAACATACAGGATCTGGGCTGGGGATGTGGCTCAAGCAGTAGCACGCTCGCCTGGCATGCATGCGGCCTGGGGTTCGATCCTCAGCACCACATACAAACAAAGATGTTGTGTCCGCTGAAAAAACTAAAAAATAAATATTAAAAAATTCTCAAAAAAAAAAAAAAAAAAAAAACCAAAACATACAGGATCTAAAGGACAGGTCTGGAGAGACAGATGAGAGACAGTCATTCAGGTATGGGGAGGTTGATAAGAAAATGGTTAGGGACATAGTGATATGACTATGATAGGATATATGTTAACACAGCGACAATATTTATAATCTTATAATCTTGGAGAAGGCTGGTTTAGCTAGACAACTGGTGAAAAGTACATGGGAATATTTTTTATTTTTTGAGAGGCAGCATGGAACAGTAAGGATGTTCAGAGAGAAGACCTGTGTTCAAGTGGCTCTATCATTTCCTAGCTGTAAAAATATTGACAATTCTGCACATCTGTTGTACAATAGGGAGAGTATTTTCTAATCTGCCTGTCCCAAAAAGTTATAATAAAGGCTGAATAAAATATTTCAACTGGCTGTGGTGGTACATGCCTTCAATCCCAGCGAGATTAAAGATAGAGAGCAGGTGGGTTGCAAGTTTGAAGGCAGCCTCGACATCTAAGCAAGACTCTCAGCAACTTAGCAAGTAAAAGGACTGGGGATATAGCTGAGTGGTAAAGAATTCCATCTCCAGTACCAAAAAAAGAAAAGAAAGAAAAGATATTCCAAAGAATCCTTTTATACTCTAAAATGTTTTATACATGTTAAATACTAGTTTCACTGCTTCAACCAAAAGCTGTGAAAAAAGACTCATAGTCAACAACTATGGAATTCTTATTACTCATCTTTCATTACCTTTTTTTAAGGTTTATTTGCAAGATGCTATGCCCTTTAAACACCACAAAAGTGACTTCTGAGTGATCAACCTCTTCCAGAGGCTCATGGGACTTCCTCAGGTGTTGGCTGTTAGAGATATCTCTTATACTTTTCTTCCCATGAGAATCACTGCTAGCTTTCTCAGGATGCTTTGAGCAAGGGAGGTATTTCTTTACTTTTCTTAAAATAGAGAATCTGTCCATTAGATAGATAGAACCTTCAAAGGGACACTTCCATCTATCTGTTTCTTGGGGGAACTGATGATCTATTCCCAAGCTAAACAATGGGTATCTCTCTCCCTTTCCCGCCCTGCCTCCTTTTAAGCCTTGCCAGAGAAAGTGCCTTAATGAACTGCTTCAGCTTCACCTCACAACTTCACCATTTGAACTTCCTTCTGTTTAGCTTCAGTCCATTTCTTGGGATCATATTGTTGAGATCTGGGAAAGGCTGGTTATCAGTCTGGAATAGCTGTCTCCAAATTGGTTCATTGCACCAGCAAACTTGCTGGGCTCTGGTACTAGTCCTTTGCTGCATTGCTGCAATGCTGGGTCATGGAGGGCAAATCACTCACCCTTTCTATGCCTCAATTTCTTGCCTATTGCACTTGTTCCCTCAGCGCAGGCTTTCTCCTCTGCAAGAGGCAAACAGCAATGTCTTCCCTACCTAAAGGAGGTCACCATCTGCTGGATGACTTTGTGGGTATCTCTATTCTGGAACATGCTGTTGCGATTTTGTTGTGATTACTATATATATATTTAAACATTCTCCTACTGGACAGTTCCCCTCTAAGGGGGCGGGGGACCCCGTCTTTTTCACCTCTCTTCTAGCATTGAGTGCTTATATTGGTAAGCAGAGTGAAGTTAATTTTTAGCCAAAAATTTATGTGGCGAATTTTCCACAATCATCCACTAATCCTGGACTCAGAATGCACTTTTTCCCTTTTTATCTCCTCCCTTCCCTTACAGCAACGTCACGGTGGGAAGCGGGGCTGGGGGGCAGGGGAGACAGGGGATCAGAGCAGCTAAGACTAAGCGCGCGGGAATGAGATTAGCGATGGGCCAGGAACGTGCTTGGGGCTATCGCTACCAAGGGGACGTCGGTGGTAGCAAAGATGCAACTCCAGGCTCCACTTCGACAGGGTGTGCTGTTTTATCCTAATTCTTGGAATAGGGTTGAGGTTCCTGGCATTCTGCAGAAGTAACACGGCTGTAAGCGGCATTCGGGATTCCCCACGAACGCGGAGAGAATGGCTCTGGTTCGGCAGGCGCCCCCCAGCGACCTGCGGGCGACAAGGCCCGGGCCGGGTCAGCCTAGGTGGGGGTGACGCACCTGGCTGAGGCGTCCGCAGCAGGCTGGGTAGAACCACGGCAGCAGGGGTAGCGGGGAGGCATCCTCTATTATCGCAGGCAGAAGCGTGGATCTGCACATACGAAATCATTGAAAACTCCGTCCCACACGGGGCCGGGTATGCCTAACTCTATCGAGGCAGCCGTGAGAGGTTTCACCAGGCAAGGACTCCAAGGCGGCCGTGCAGTGGTTGATTCCAAGTCAAGATGGTTGCAGCGCGGAGGGAGCGCTTGGCAACAGGGGACAGAGGCTGTGGGCGGGGCCAGTGGGCGGGGCGGGGCCGGGGGCGGGTCCCATCGGGGGCGGGGCCAGGTGCTGGGCAGTCTGTGCTTGTCAAAAGGCAGCAGCGGAGTCGGGAGCGCCAGGCTGCGTGTTCACCCGCCGGACCAGGTGTGGACCTGGGAGCTGCGGGGAAGGGGGTTCTAGGAAGGGACTGAATCCCGGCTCGGGGCTTCGGAGGTCCGGAGATCTGAGTGCCCGTGTGCAAGCACTTGAGTGTAAGTCTCAGGAACAAAACTTGGCGACTGAGATCCGGGCTGTTGTGCCATGAGGTTGGGACACTGAGGGGGCACTGAGGTTTGAAAAAGTTGAAGTTTGTGCCAAGCTGGCGAGGGGGCAGCCACCTCCTCGATGTTCATTCAGGCAATTCAGCGTAGAAAGTGCTCAGCTAGGACAGGGCTTAGCACTTGGGTTACTAGACCCATTTGTTTCTTCCTCCATCGGGCGCCTTGGCATGGAGGGGAAGAATAAGGAAGGGTGCGATTGGCTGTCGATGGTACTAAGGACTTCTGGGGGTGGAGTGTGTGTAGCTTTATTTATTATCCTGTAGAGCCCTAGTATGGCCACCTGTGATGGTGAAGTTGGATCTTTTACGTAGAGTATTTTTCTTTTCTTGACTTTAGCCACCAATTATTGAGACGTAATTGACTGGTGCAGTGGATTAACTTTTCAGGAGAGCCAATCCATAGATGTCCAGAGGAACACAAGGGCAAGCATATAAGCCCGGTGGGGGCCTGAGGAGCTGTTTCTGCTTGGAGAGTGAGGGGCCGCGAATTTGTTGGTGGTGGGAGAGAATTCAAAGGAAGTATCTAGGAAGGAATTTTGTGTGGTGGCCAGGGTCAGCGGACAGCTGTGCCCTCTCCCATGGACCAGAGGCTAAGACAGTCTGCTTGGGCTAGGGGGACCTTGAATCTCTGAACCTAGGCCCTTCTCTTCCTCCTCCTCCTCCTCCTCCTCCTCCTCCTCCTCCTCCTCCTCCTCCTTGTGGTGAGTGAGTCAGCCTCCTGTCTGGGCTCAGCTGCAGCCAGAGGGGCCAGAGCCCAGGCAAGCAGTTGGGCAGGCATTTTCTGAGCATTGCAGAAGTTCTCCTGGGCAGAGTTCAGCTCTGCTGTGGCTCCCTGATGGAAGGCAGTCTTCCCATGGCTATTGGGCAGTGGGCAGGGGTTCAGACACCCAACACAGCAGTGGTTATTTGATGGCTATGGGATGATTCTAGAAGGAGTTGACTGTGAAGGGATTGTGGCTTTGTGGTAAGTCCACATCTCTTATCCTTCTCTCGAACTGAGAGGTACACCCCAGCACTGCAGAATTTTCCAGCTTCTCATCCCATTTGTTCTCTGTGGTCTTGTAGCTGCCCATCTCTGCTACTGAGGTAGGCATGAAGAAGAAATTGGGAGGATTCTGGAACCACAAAATGCAAATAATGCTTTAACCCAGTCTAGAGAGTTGGGGGTGGTTTGCTGAGGTGGGGATGGGTTGTCTGTACACAGGAGCCTCAATGCTATGAACTGAGAATGTTGTGTATTGGGGGCCCTTCCTCTATCCCCTCGCCATTGGAGTGCTGGAGGGAATTGTGGGTCACTCTGGAGTAGTTTCAGGACTGCCATGTAGCCAGACCAGGAGGTAGTAAAAGTGAAAATTTCTCCCTGGCTTTTGTTGTGGGTGCTAAAGATCCATGAGCAGAAATAGGTGCCCCAGAGCCCATGGCCCCCCACTCAGTAGCCTCTCTAGACCTGTTTGAGAGGAATTCAGGGAGACCAACAAGGCTGCTGGGCTGACTCAAACTGCAAAAAGCTGGGGAATTCACGGTCTGTGCTCTGGCTGGGTCCCATGTCTTTGGGTTTGGCTGGTCCTGATTAGCTATGACTTGGTCCCTTACCAAGACTGAAAATAGAGTAAGAAAGGAGGGAAAGGAAGACAGTGAGGAAGCTCTCTTGACCCCTCACTCTTCTTCAGCCAAGACCATCAGACTTTGTTTGTACATTGTGGTAGGTCCAGGTGCTCTTTGGGTGCTTTGGCTATTTGGTTTTATGGTTCTCCAGTCTTCTTCCTCTCTTTGGTCTCAGAACTGATACCTTTTGGGACTGAGTTGTAAAGGAAGCTCCAATCCATCTCCTGGGCCTCTACCCTCTACCCAGCACATAAAGAAGGTGAGGCCTGAAGGGCTAGACCAAGTTGTTATCCAAGACATGAGGAAGAGTTCTGGTTTTTCACTTCTTTGCCCCATATCCTAAGGAAACCATGAACATCCTAGTTGAGATCAGCTTCTGGAACCTCTGCTAGAAACCTGCTGTTGTCTGTGCAGCAATGGGGTTCTCCTGGCTACAGAGTAGGACCAGGAAGAACCTGAATAACATTCAGATTTATTCTGGATAGGAACTTATTTGGCTCTAGCTTCCATTAGCTTTTGCTGCAGGTCCATTTGGAAGGCAGGTAGAGGGAAGTAAGGAAATGATTGATGAAGAGCCTCTGTGTGCCCAGCGTGGTGCCAGGCCATCTGAGGAATGAAAGGAAGCAGATCCCAGCAGACCAGGCTCCTGCCGCCAAGACAATCAGAGCCTCAGGAGGGGCAGCAGCCCTCTGTCTCTCCCTTCACTACTTTCCAGTTCTGGAGGGATCCAGCTGGACTGAAGCCTTCTTGGCTGTTGCTCTAAACCATGAGGGCTTCATTTCTAATTAGGCTTCTCTCTGATTTCATCATCGCTTTCCCTAGTGTCAGTGTCCCACTGAAGATGCTAGAGTGGTTGTATAATTTATCGTTCAAACTAGGATATTTTTGGGAGTGACTGGGATGTTCTGCATGATTTTTGCCAGGGTAATGCACATAAACCAAGACTGTCCAGGGCAAACAAGAAATTTTAATCATCCTAGTAAATGCCATTCCAAACCCAGCAGAGGTCACACACAGTGATGAGGGGACAATGGAGGCTTAATGTTGAGGGGAAGATGGGGGTAGTTTAATTTTAATAAACACCCCAGTCTGCTCCCTGGGATTATCAGCCAATTCCAGTCTTCTTCCCAAAGGTAGCACTGCTCCCAGTCACCTTCTCTCAGGACCCAACCCACCACCTATGTAACTTCCCTTCACCCTTGGCTTATGATTGGCCTCACCTTAGGTTTTTCTGCCCCACCCCTACCTCAGACAGGGACAGGAAGACCTGCCAACTCCTCTTCCGCTTCCCCTGGGGGAACTGGGAATTATAGTAGGGCCAAGACTCACTGGGCTTCATGCTTCCTCTCCCCTCTTTTCCCCTTCTGCCATCTCTTCATTTTGTCCTTCTAGCTTCCCAGACCTCTGAGGACCATACCACCCCACAGGAAAGTCCAGCTCTCAGTGGGTAAACAACCAGGAAGGAAAGGGTAGTCAACCTTGTCTGTATAGATAAAGAACGAAAGTCACTTGTAATTGTGATCCAGGGAAATGACAACCAAGATGGAGACTAAAACCGGAGAGAAGCTGCTTAGCAGGAGATGGAGTCAGTCCCCTTGAACACTAGAGTTTGATTCCCCAGTTAGGACTGTTGAGAGTCCTGACTATTGGGGAAATGGTCCAGGGTGGGGACAGATAGTTCTTGCTCAACCCAAGCTTTAGGCGTTGGTGGCAGCAACAGCATCCTGTGGTGGTGACACAGGAAGATAAACTGCCCTCGCTTCAGAGTCCTTGCACTTTATGGTCCAGATGCTCGGGGAAGGCTCTTTGGAGAGTCCCCAGAGGTCTAGCTTCTGAGTGATTAGAGCATAAGGCATGGCGGGAGCCGAGTCTCCTCTGTGACTGTGTAGTGACTCCTGTGCTGTGGCAGGAAGGAAGTCATTCTCATTGTAACACACGAAAGGGTAAGTGAAGTCCTCTTGGGAAATCCCACCTGGGAAGCAATTTGTGGAGAGGGGAAGGTGACAGAACTTTGGACTGGTGAGGGAGGGCTGGGGTGACTAGTGGGTAAATGGCAGGAAGGAGAAGCAGAATCAGTAGGCGCTCTGTGAGTCTGAGTGTGTGTCATGCCTTTGCAAACCTGCCCTGCAGGTCCCAGGCCAAGGAATAGACTAAGCAGTGTTCCCAGAACCAAATGCCACACAAAGTCCTCATTCTGCACAGGGGAGAGTCCTGGTCCTGCACAGGGTGTGGACAGCTGCACCAGCGGGAAAGTGGAGTTGGGGCAGGACCCAAGGCCAGTTCCTGGGAAGCTGCTGCCTCTTGCTGGCCTTTTGATGACAAGCTTTGAAGTGTTATGCAAGGTGTGACATTCCAGACACTATGGAGCACCAAGGAAGCTCAAGGGTTTACTAGTGGCATATCCAGTGTGTGCCACCTGCTGGCGCCAGAGTTATAGCTCTAGGAACAGTGGTTTACTGGGCACTCATTTGGTGGCAGTTGCAGTGCTAAGAACATTGCAAGCGCAGCCTCCCAGACCCATCAGCCGTGGTTCCAGTGAGTCAGGAATCACTGCTATGTTCACCTTACAAATGAGGAAACTGAGGCTGGAGAGGTTAAGCAATTGCCAAAGTGACATAACGTGTAAGAAGGAGAGTCAGGACTCACATGCAGGTCTGCAGGCTGCCAAAGCCTCCACAGAACTCTACCACCTCTGCATTCACAAGACAGCCACAGGGCACTCAGTGCCGTGTCATGCCTATTACAGGCCTGCAATAAATATTTGTGAGCAGCAGAGTTAGATTTACTAACTAGTTTGAACAAGTTGACCTGAGAGCAAGCTCAGTTGGCCCAAAGGTTACTCTGGGGATGGTGGCATCTCAGAAGGCTACCTCTGCCAGCACCTTTAGACGTGAGTGTCTCTCTGGCAGTCTTAGGCATAGTCCTTGGATTAATATGAGGCATAAAAAAGAATCCGAGAGATGTAACATTGTACAGAGAGGTTAATGTTGAGGAATCAAATAAGACTTGAATGACATGGGAGGGAAATGTGAAACTCTTCCCATTTCAAACAAAGCACTCTACTGATAGCCTCCTATGTGCTAAGTGCAACAGGGAAAAATCCCGTCATCCCACCCATTAATAGGGAGCTATTCTCCACTTGCCCACCTTTTCTCCCCTCCTGGTTGTTCCTAAAGGGCTCCCAAACCTAGTTCTCCTAGAAGGAGAAATGGACTCTAAC